GATCTTTTCAGCTTGAGTTTGTTGAGCTTGAGGTTCCACTCCCGGCATTTCTTGAAGAACGCACGTTCGTTCTTTTCAAGGCTCGAGTTGACCTCTGCGTCAGTTTCGCCAAATCCAGCGATGAGGAAGTCGTCAGCGATAACTTCAACTCCTTCTAAATTTTCTACGAATTCATGCATGCGTCGCTGCCAAACTTCAGGCGCACTTGAGATACCAAAAGGCATGCGGGCCCATCTATAACGCCCAAAAGGCGTATTGAACGTTGTCAGGAAACTAGAAGCATCGTCTAAGAGGATTTGGTGGAAACCATCCTTGGCGTCACAAAGAGTAAATTTCTTGGCACCTGTTAAGCGGGAGGCCACTTCATCGATAGTCGGCAACTGGTAATGCTCTCGCCGAATGGTACGATTTAAATCTCTCGGGTCAATACAGATGCGTACTTTGTTTGGCTTCACTATGGCCAACATGCTGGATACCCACTGCGTCGGTTCTGTTACTGGAATAATAACTTTACGATCAACAAGTTCGTCCAGCTTGTTTTTGATGCATGGACGCAAGGCTACTGGCACTCGCCTCGGTGCGTGGACAACTGGTTGCGCCTGTTCGTCTATGGCTATTTTGTATGTTCCCGGTAGGGCCCCTAATCCGTCGAATACGTCCTCATACTCTTCGAGCAAGGAGGCTTTGGGACACTTGACGTGTAATGCTAGGACGTCACAATTATGCAAACTCACAAAGCCAAGATTGAGGCTGGTGTTCAATGATAAAATCGGTTGATAGTCTCCGTCTAAGATGTTAAACTCCATTGACCTCCGCTGTCCACGGGACCACACAGGCAGGGTAGCTTTACCAGCAATTTTGCGGCGATCCCCTGTGTACGAGACTATTTCCTTTTGGCATGGTTTGAGGCGATGAAGGAGGGTGTCCCCAGTGATTTGCTTGTATAATTGGGCCGGGAGAATGTCGCACTGCGACCCAGTATCTATTTGAAACTGGACTTCTGTCTTGGGATCTGGCCCATAAATGTGGAGTTTGACCACTGCCAATTTTTCCTGGCCTTTGCTCTTACTAGTAGTAGCACCAATGTAGTAGGGGTCGTTTCCCATGTCGACGGCTTCGTGGACCGCCGAAACTCTACTTTTCACTCCTCGGGGATTAGCGCGACATTTATTCGCAAAATGATTCATACTCCCACAGTTAAAACATGTTCTTCCATACGCGGGACAATGACGTCCATGCACCATTCCGCAATTTCCACATTCTTTAGACGGTCTTCTAAATGCTTGTGACTTAAGTTGTCGTTCTTCTTCAGGTTTTTCTGCCGATCCCGCCTTCCGTAACGCATGAACTGCAGTGTCTCCTCCAGCCATTAGCTTTACTTGCTGTTGGGTCTGTTCTGACGACTTAATAATGTCAACTGCTTGTAGGAGAGATAAATCATTCAAACGGAGAAGTCTCTCGCGGACGCGATCATCCCGTATGCCTAGCACGAGGCGGTCACGCAAAATTTCATCTGGTGTGATTGTATCGTGTGCACAGTTTTTGCGATCGTTCGAAGCTCCGTAAGATACGTCGAGATGTTTTCGCCTGGTTCCTGGTTTCGGTTGTTGAACCTATAGCGTTCATATATGACCTGTGTCCTAGGAATGCAGAATTCGTCGAACTTCTTCAGGACTTGTGAAATGTCGTCTGCGTTTTCGTCTTCGTTCCAAATAAAGGTATCGTGGGCTCTGACGCCATCCTCGCCTATAATGCTTAGTAATGTCGACACACGAACTATGCCCTCTTGTTTATATACACCAGTAGCGATTTCGTAGCGCTGCCACGCTGCTTTCCACGATTTCCATGCGGTGGCTAAATTGTCGTCAAAATTAAGCGCTTTCGGCGGGGGCAAATTTGACGGGGGAATAAAAACTTGAGTCGGCGCTGGTGGCACAACTATGGATGCTTCAGCTGCCTCTGTCATCTTTAGGGGTGAACAGATCCCACTTCTGACACCATGTCACGATTCTGTGAACTCAAAAGGGTTGTTTATTGTGCGAACTTGACTGCCGCCACGTGTCTGTTCGTTGTCTCGTAAGTCTTCTAAATATAAAGATGTTCATCGGCCCAGTGGCGTGACCGTGTAACGCAATATCACGACAGAGATCTCAACGGCCAGTATTTCCCTGAGCACTAAAGCTAACTTGTACGTTAGGAGGGCATTGATGTTTGGGTTCATATTGAGTGATAAAATAAGTTAACTTGGAGTGTGAGGTGGGTTCTTCTTGTTATTATATTTTCAAAACTAGTGTCAACCAAAGGAATCAGTTAGTTGCATCAATAACTCATTTGTTGGAGGAACTGCATGAATACTGCTTGATCGGACTTGACCTGGTAAAATTTACGCACAGCCCCATACTACATTTTGTATTCAGTTCTTGGATAGAGAAAACGATGACAAAAACAATTAATACATTGCCTTTGGGAAAACAGATTTGTATTTTATAGAGGGTCTTAATTTATGATAGAAGTCTGTTTAAAAAATGTCCGATTCAGCTTAAATTCATATCGCTTTTGGTTTGTGCATGTTTTGATGGAGTTAATTGTTGAAGTGCTACAAATACATTGTAGTGAATTACATGTTTTCATCCATTCAGTGAAGATCTGATTTTACAAACCCTTTCACTCCCAGATCAAATTATAATTCTCGTTATAATGTTAGTTCAGAGAATTTAGAATTGGATCAACTAATTATCCCCAAATTCATAATTTTCTTTTTTTTTGTCACTTATCTGGTTGATATTGTATTGATGTTGTAAGGAGAAATTCTGTCTTGGTCACTCATGGGAGTTGAAGGGCTAATCCCTCAGTTTACTTGAGGATGAAGTGGCCTTTTCAAGAGAAAATGTAAAAAGTGAAAAAGAAGTTTTTGATATGCACTGGTAATGAGGTAGAAGAAGTTGACATTATCAGAGCTTGAAAGAGTTGAAGAGTTTTGACTGATAACACTTCCTTTTTAAATTCATTGAATCTGTCCGAGTGAAACTATCTATGAATGAGGAGATTAAGGCAAACCATGCTCTAAACTTGCAACCAAGCCAAAGTTTAAAGTGCTAATTTAGCATTGCTTCCTGAGAAATCTTTGTTAGGAAATACATGGGAGTTAACAAAGAATACAGTTATACCTGTAGTTGTCAATGCAAAAATGCAAGTCATGGTTATTATTTTTTGCTGATTTAAGAAACTGGGAATAGTTTTTGCCTCCAAGCAGTCCATGTGATTCAATTTTGCCACAAGCGAATCATGTCATACCTACAGCAGTTTTACAAAAATCATGGACAACTGGAAAAATACGACAGCATTGTGAGATAAGTTAAAAAAAAACTTGACAGCAGTTCGTAGCCAGAATAATTTTTGAATAATTAAACCATTCTATGATTTGACCATCCTTTCTTTCTCTTTCTACCTTTCTTCTTCCATTCTGCCTCTTGCCGGGGGCCATACACTGGACCATGCACCATTTACTGGTCTTTGTTTGCACCTTTGCTTATGGCCCTTGTACGCCTTTCTTTTATGTTTTTCACTAAAGCATGCGTATATGTTTCACCCTGTCCTCCCTTCAGGTGTCCAATCAGTGTATGGCATTAGTTGGTGACAACTGCCTGGTACCAACAGTACTATAGATGAACCAGGTCTTGGCTACATTCCAAAATCTTCAAGCAATCAATATGTCTCGGATGTTTTCTATAAGGTCGGTACCAAGCATGAACTCCATTGCAACAAAACTTAGTCAAAGACAGTGTATTTTTCTGTTTGTTTGGTTATTTGTGTTGTATTTCCAGACTGCTGACTTGTACAGTAATGAAGTGACTCTTTTGGCTTGCCCTTGCCTATTGAATATCTGTTAGTTCAGGTGGGTACATTTACTTTTTTGTATACTTTTGTTTCTGAATTGTTTTCATCTATTTGGCATACTATTGAATGAATAACATGAGTTACTTAAAAAGCACTTAAACATATAAGGAAACATAATGTGACATTTTTTTGTTAGTTTCATAGTTTAGATCTTTTTGTTTGTGTGTTTGTTCTATTTTGTTGTTTATCTTTGTTGGTTTGTTTAATCCTCTTTTTCTTTTTTAATCTGTGTTTTGTTTTTCCTCTTGGTGCTGACTGCTTTTCCTTTAGAACCTCAGGTTACTTTCTCCAACCAAAGTCAGGGAGAACCTTTCCTGCTAGAGAACTGCTCAAGTATGGGAGAAGGTCAGGGAAAAACATTACAAGCAGTTTTGATACTGCAAAGGTATCCTGCATGTGATTAAAGTTATGAAAACCCAGAGAATATGGTCTGACATTTTAACTGTTAAGTGCTGATGGGTGAGGAGATATGGAGAGGTTTCCATCAAAGCCAGTCATTGGTGGTCTACTGCCACATATAAGATCTCTGCAGTCTGTTTAGCCTGTCTATGAGTTTCACCTTAAAGCCTCTGTGTGTAGTTTCATGATAAAGGTATTTTTCTACTGTTGTTTGTTGTATGAGGTAAAAAATCTTTGTAGCCCTTTACTTTGGTGCAATTTGTGTAATTCTGTGTTTTTTCATTTCCCTTGTGTGCAGGATTTTCATGCTTTAGTGAGATACTTAAACCAGTTCCCTCCCGGTGAATTCCTGCCTGCTATGTCTAATTTTCACCTCTTAGTTTTTCTGACAACTTCCGACATGCTTCCTTTAGAGGTAATGTTCATGTGTTGACTTCGAGCCTGTGATGAGATCACAGCTAATAAATTGCAAAGCGACACTTTGCAACCAAAATCTGGTTTTGGCGCCAAATTGATGAACAGCAAAGAGAGGCTTTTAATTGTCTTAAAAAAAACCCAGGGCTGGGTTGTTAGTGTGAAATCAGCAATTGGATATCAGATCTGAAAGCTTTTAAAGAAAATTTGGTTGAATTTCTTTTTTTCTTGAATATGATTATTTGATGCTGTACAAAGAACACAGAAAATTATTCCAAAAGGCTTTTGAACTAAGGAATAAAGAAATCCAGATTGCAATTTAACCTTGGGTTAGTGCTAATTGGCCTTCGAACAACTGGGCTTAGAACCATAGCAACTGTAAAAGGCAAGTGGAACATACAGAGGCAACATGATAAGCCAGTATGAACTGGCGCGATGAACAAAGTGACAAGCTCTAAGCGCGAGGAGGATGTGGCTGTAAATTTGATCAGAGGATTTTGACCACTCACAGTGTAGCTGAACCCTTTACACCCTAAAATAAATATGCATATTCTCCATACTGTTTTGTAAACATTTGCTAAGATGCCAACATGGAGAATTTGTCCAACAATCAGGAGCTTCTTAAGTCGGTGATCAGCTCCTTCATTCTCCTGACCTTAATGTTTGATTCAGGCGTGATATGGTAAGGAGAAATTAGATGCCAGTCACTCTCAGGGGTTCAAGGGTAAAAAAGCCTGAATCAATCTGTAGCTTGTACAACAAAGGGAAAAATCGGCAAGGCTGGATTCTATTACTTCTTCTCGCACTTAATGCACGTTGAGGTTTTCATGTCTCACTTTTGTTGATTATTTGTGTTGTGGCAGGATCACTTAGGAGATCTGTGTACGGCGATCAGAAACAAAGATGCTGAATTGGCTCGGCGCTGGAGTAAAAGTGAACAGTGGTGCACAGTGATACAGTTTATGCAAGCTTGAAGGGGTAAAATGGTTCCCTCAATATCTTTTTTTCTTTCCCATTATTTTCTGTCCCTCTCGTTTTTTGTTTGTTTGTTTGTTTTTTTTTGTAGTAATGTTTTGTTTATTAAATTCACTTAACCTCTGGAGAGGATCCATAGGCTGGTGTTGATTGGTTAAGGATTTTTTTTTTTACTAGTTTAACAACGCAGTACAGTCCTTTTTTTTTTTTTTAAGGAAAAATAAAATTCCGTATCGGTTTTTTTTTTTCTTTTACAAATTATGATATCTTATCAGGAATCTATGCTTAGGATTAAAATATTCTCTACCCTGCCCTCTCACGAGAGCCACGAGGATCAGGGGACGGCTTTTTGAGAAGTTCCGCTAAGAACTTTTATATTTTATCGCCAGCGGAATTGCAAATGACGCCGTTGAAAATGCATCCCTACTTCTCTACACCATATTTAAGTGAAAAGTAATTTCTGATACCAGGAGGCAAAACAGCACATGCTGAAACCGATGGAGATATTTCAGATGTTGATCTACTGGTGTGGTGCTTTATACAGTGAATGAAAGGGTGTGACAGAGATGTTTTGTGGATGCAAATAAAGCAGTCGTCGTTTCTGTGATTTGCAAATGTGTGTATTTATTGGATTATGTGCATGATCACAAGCTGTACTTACAATCTAGAACATAAAGAAAGCGACAAAACTTTTGAGTCTGTAAAACATGTTTCGACAGAAACTTATGTCAGCTTCAGTAGCTTTGTTCTACTTACTACATCATTCAACTTCCAACGCTTTGTACAGTAATTAACTGAAGATGACAGAAGTTTCTGTCGAAACATGTTTTACAGACTCAAAAGTTTTGTCGCTTTCTTTAAATTCTTGACTTTCCTGCTAATATCAAAATCTAGAACGTGTTTTACAATAGGGCATTTAAAGCCGGATTATCAAGTCCTTTGAACAATATAGATGAAGGTGTGGTCTTTCGTATTTTATCGCTTTTTGCTTCGTGAAAAAAACCCACGAAATCGAATTTCTTTAAATGGGAGGTAGTTCAGATCTCGGTTTCATAAATGTTAGCACACAAAAGTTTTTTCGACTTGAGTAGAAAAATGAAATTGAGAACAGAATAGAATAACTATCACTGCACCTGACATGGATAAATTATGATTAAAACGAATTTTTAGGTGATACCAAGAATTCATAACTAAAGTTATCCCACTCGCTCGTCTCCAATTAATTTTTTAATGGGGTGTGCTCCGACGAAAGGAATATTGGAACATAATAAAGATAAAAAATAGCAAAAAGCTTCTCGCCTTAGCCGAGGCAAGCTGGAATAGGTCCATTGTCGGGCTATCTTGGGTCTGGTTATCAGTGCCAATCCACAAAATTAATGGAGCACATACTCCACCTCAAGGGTGTTCTAAACTGCTCTAGTTCCCCCTTCCACTGTGTTGCCCAGACAGGAAGCCTGTAAAATTTGATTTGGAAACGAATTTGCTTTACGATATGGCATGAAAAAAACAATGATCTGGTCTATCTTGGAAATGACCATCGGCTTTAAAAGATTCAAGATTATGCGGTCTTACGCAAGGGGGAGGGAGGAAAGGAGTGGCTTGCTTTTTCAAACTGCTTTTTTCGCGGCACTCTCGCTCCGCGCGTCCGCCTCGCGCTTTCTTCCGCCTGTTCTGCAGTCCAAGTCATCTTACATCAAAGATATCCATGGTTACTGTAGTTCTAGTCTTGCTACGTCACGCTATCCGACAAATCACACGACCAAAGCGATTTGAAAACCATCAGAAGCCAAATTTCACAAAAAACCGTGACAAGTGGAGCTAGCGCTCTGTGATTAATGTGTTCAGTAGAAATATAATCTCTATACAAGCGTTAAGTTGAGACGGAATTGAAACTATTGATAGCGCACAGCAAAAGGTTAGTGTTTCGAAACTGAAAGTGTGAGCTTATTGAATACCCCTCCTTGAAATTGTCTGCGTCATTTCGTGATGAAATCCGCTCGAATATGGGATTTCATTTTAGGCCACAAATGGACAAACCTTTATCTCAATTAATTTATTTCTATTCTGATGAATTCTGAGACATCGCAGTCTGACTAAGCTAAATGAACGCATGAAAACGTCATGCTTCCATGACCGCACACCAATTGCAAGTGGACCTCCGAGCGAGAGCTTCAAGTCAACCTTTGGAGGTAACAGTTTGTGGATTTTATTCCATATTGAGTTGAGTTTCAGTTTGAGCACTTTCTTTCTGTTAATTACATCTTGCTTGAAACACATCAATATACGACCTCAAGTGAATTTACGCCGCGCTATGTTGGGGTCGGCTGTACATGGGCTAAATTAGGCACGAAACTTCAAAAGTACGTTCCTAAGGGTGAAGAAAATCGCTCATAGTCGAACAATCGATTAAATTTTACCAAGTTTGTCGAAATCATTCGACTAAAGTCGGGTCATGTGGTAGTGCATCGATTAAAATCGAAGTCCTGATAAAGTCCTGATGCACGACAGATCACTTACAAGCACGACTCGATTAGAAACTAAAGAAAATAACATTAAGATTTGGATCACACAGGAGTGTTAACCAATTCAGTATTCAACGTCTGTGAAAAAATCGCTGTGGTAATTTTTAGCTTATGCCAAGTTAACGGTAGTCTCATCTTAGCTTCGTGCGTAGAATCTCCACAGCACCTCGTGCTATTTTGTATTCCCCGTTCATGCTGTTTTGTGCTTCCCTTGTTTATCTGCTGCCACTTCGATATCGTGAGTCTCTACCCACATTATATATGGGAATCGAATTGTGAAAAAAGTTACATGTGAACAATTTATCTCCTGAATGTAAAGGGATAGTTGTAGTGAGGACATAAAACTTATCGGTGAAGAACATTAAACCAGTATGTTGTGTCTTTATTCTAAGGTCTCTTCTGTCAGATTATTTGATGATTTGAGTTGCTTACCTTTTTATGAGGAGGCTACAATTTCCAAACGTCTAATTGCATTTAAGAGACTACCGGGAGAACCGCTTACGTCTATTACTCGCCTTTTAACAAGTAAAAGTGATTTTCTCTCCCGTAACACTTGGTATGCAAACCATAACTTAGTATGCCGAAAGTTTAGATGGCGGTAAAACGTTCAATGTTACCACATGTCAACCATGGAACAGTTTCCTTATCACCTTACGACAAAAGATATCAGTACAAAGGTTTAAAAAGGCAATTTTTTATAGGAAACCAACACAGTTTGAATCATTTTATAGTTTAACAGGTTCCTTTTTACAGTTTCCTGACTCTTTTATTTAATCCTTGAGATCTACTTTATCTTAGGTTTGATCATAGGATTTTTGATTTCATTTATTAAACTGCTCTTCTATTTCTGTAATAATGTATTTGTTTTTACTCATCAATATCTATATTTGCATAAGTATTATCACGTTTATTGTACGAGGGCCACAAGTTTATATGCCTTTTGGCTACTAAGTGCTACTCTCTTTAATAAAGAGTTTACTTACTTACTTACTCACTTACTTTGATGTTTATCAATGTCATCGATAGGAGTTTTTGCAAAAAATCGGATTCGGTTGACAATTATTTCTCAAGATAATAACATACGTATTCAGTAATTTCCTATAAAAATCAATTTATCATACTGACATATTATCGAATACTAAAAACACTCTGACATAAGAGTAAACATATGATTCGATTGAGTTTATTTCAAGAATTTTGCCACAGGTTAAACAACACTAAAGTGTAAAGGAGTATGATCATATAGATTGTTTTGATAGAATTCTGAATCCAAAGAAATAATTTTTTTCCCGGATGCGATCAACCTTTATCTTCTCCTTACATTATTTCAATATTCAAATACATTGTAAAACACGCTGGTGATTGGAGTTAGGAGGCTATCAGCCAAAAGGCCGGAATTTTGCCCTGAATTCTCTTAATTTACATGCATGGAAAGTGTCTGACCGGCTAGAAGGGAGAAGTTTTTCTCGGATCTCTGTAAGAAAAGGCCAATTTGATTTTCACACTACGTGATTCATATCTTCACGATCACGGCCATATGTCACGCTTTTTTTAAGTCACGCAAACGCAGATTTGGAGAGCATTTGCATGCAATTTTAATAAAGCAATCAGTTTTCCAGAGGGTATTTAAAACTAGTTTAATGTAATACTTTTGCTTGCTTTGAGATGTAACGGACATTTTTGGAAGTGTGGATAAAAAGTTGATATATTAAAATCGAACATCAAACTTACTGAAAATTTTGTCTGGGTCAATTGATTTTTTCAATCGGATATATTATTCATTCTACCAGTGCTGAGCCAGGGAGTCTGACGAACAAGCAGCAACCAAATTCCTTGGTTAAAGAGTCATCGACCTTTGCTCAATTAACGATCCAGTATTTCTTCATGGCAGCACCTTCGTTTCATTCGACAAAAGAGACAACCAATTACGCCCGCTTATGCAGGCTTCTAGTGGGTGTTAGTGCACATATCTTGAGACAGACATTTGACAAAAGGCGTCCAACAGGAGACCTGCACACAGTTTTGTCAGATCCTCCAGTTCATTCAGTCTTAAAATCACTTCGAAAGAAAAGAATAGTCAACCCTTCACAATGGGACAAACTGTACCCCGCCATCAAGTCTTCAGTTTCATCAAAGAATTTCGATATCACGTTACTGAT